GCCATGGCAATGGCAATGGTAAGTGTAATGATAATGGCAATGGTAATGGTAATGGGAATGGGAACGGGAATGGGAATGTGAATGGGAATAGGAACGGGAACGGGAATGGAAATGGTAGTGGTAGTGGTAACGGAAATGGGAATGATAAGGGTAAGGGTAAAGGTAAAGGTAGAGGTAAAGGTAATGGTAATGGAAATGATAGTGATAATGGTAATTGTAATGGTAATGGTCATGAGAATGGGAATGGCAATGGAAATGGTACTGGCAATGGTAGTGGCTAATGGCAATGGCAATGGCAATGCGAATGGTAATGGTAATGACAGAGGTAATGGTAATGGTACTGGTAATGGTAACGGTAATGATAGTGGTAACGGGGTGGCGACTGGCAATGGCAATGACAATGACAACGGCAACGGTAATGGCAATGGCAATGGCAATGGGAATGGCAATGGCAATGGTAATGGCCATGGCAATGACAATGGCAATGGTAATGGTAATGGCAATGGTAATGTGAATGGGAACGGGAATGGGAATGTGAATGGGAACGGGCATGTAAATGGCAGTGGTAGTGGTGACGGAAATGGGAATGGCAAGGGTAAGGGTAAATGTAAAGGTAGAGGTACAGGTAATGGTAATGGTAATGGCAATGGCAGTTGTAATGGTAATGGTAATGGTAATGGTATTGGGAATGGGAATGTTAATCGGAATGGTAATGGTACTGGCAACGGTAATGGTAGTGGCGAAGGACAAAGGCAATGGCAATGGTAGTGGCGAATGGCAATGGTAATGGTAGTGGCGAATGGCAATGGCAATGGTAATGGTAATGGCAATGACAGTGGTAATGATAATGGTACCGGGAATGGTAATGGTGACGATAACGGTAATGGTAATGGTTATGGCAATGGTAACGGGGTAGCGATTGGCAATGGTAATGGGAATGGCAACGGCAACGGCAATGGCAGTAGCAATGGCCATGGCAGTGGTAATGGTCATGGTCATGGTAATGGTAATGGTAATGGTAATGGTAATGGGAATCGTAGTAGAAATTGGAACGGGAACGGGAATGGAAATGGTAGTGGTAGTGGGAAAGATAATGGCAATGGTAATGGAAATGTTACTGGTAACGGTAATGGTAATGGCAATGATGATGGGAATGGGAATTGTAATGGTGATGGCAGCGGTAATGGTAATGGTAATGGCAATTGTTCTGGCAATGCTAATGATAATGGCAATGGTAATGGTGGTGGCGAATGGTAATGGTAATGGTAATGGGAATGGTAATGGTAACGGTAATGGTAACGGGGTGGCTACTGGCAGTGGCAATACCATGGCAATGGCAACGGCACTGGCAATGGCAATGGCAATGATAATGGCAATTGTAATGGCAATGGCAATGGCACTGGCAATTGTAATGGCAATGGTAATGGTAATGGTAATGGTACAGGTAAAGGTAAAGATAAAGGTAATGGTAATGGTAACGGTAATGTGAATGGGAATGGGAATTGGGATGGGAATGGTAATGGTAATGGTATTGGGAATGGAAATGGGAATGGGAGTGGGAGAGATTGAGAGAGAGAGAGAGAAAAAAAAAAAAAAAAAAAAAACGAGAAAGGAAACATCAGCATAATGATGAGGAACAAACTGAAATATCGTAAATTTTCGTCTAAAGACCACAGCGACTCCACAATCCCCCGGCCTCCCCCCGTCATCCCCGCTCCGTTGCTCCTTGTCCTCATCCTCCCGCTTTCTCCATCCCCATGCTACTCCTCCTCCTCCCCCTCCTCCTCCTGATCCTCCTGCTCCGTCTGCTGCTGATCCGTCCCCAAAGCTCTCCCTCCTCCTCCTCCTCCTCCACCATCCATTCCCATTCTGATCATGTTATCCTTGCCGCCTCACGTGCTGATAGGGCGGTCTGCACGTTTCGGCTGAGAGGTCCTGGGTACAGGACAGGGAACGTTTACCCACATGTGATTCCCGCCTTGGTGCCACTTCGGCGGTGGACAAACCTCCCTCTGGTCAACCACACTTTAGTAGTGAAAACGGCCTAGGACCGAAACCGACGGACCTGGACCCGCAAAATTGACAACCGTGACGCCCTCTCGCAAACCGAAGAATGGCCAATTCGCCAAGCGACGTGTCAGGGTAGGAGGTCTATCAACCTCCGGCCAATCACACTCGCCCGAACACTTCCAGCAACTACACACGTGGAAGGCAGTTTTCGTTTTCAGCACACGGCGCTCGTCCGAGCGCCGCGCACAGTTGTCCGAAAACTTCCGCAAGGTGCACGGGTGAAGAGCGGTTGCTTTTCAACGTGGTGCTCTCACTTGAATTGGAAGCTGGGCCATGGCTGGCAAATCCGTGGCTGCTAAAACGGTCTTCCCGGAAGAAAATACAAATTCCCCAAACCAAGATTAACGCACTAAATAGTACACGGGCTGCTTCCCGTACGAAAGCAAACAATTTCCCGGAGCTCCGCTTTAGCAGCCACGGGTTTGCCAGCCGTCGCCCGGCTTCTGACTGAGATGCTCTGACATTCTCTGTCTCGAACTTTCACATGTTAGTCAGCGTGGACCCCCCAAACATACTTCCCTGCAACCTGCGCGGTGCAATGGACAACGGCGACGGCGGCTGTGGAACAGTGTGCTAAACCGCATGGACGGAGGGGAAGACCTTGTTCACACTAGGGCTACCGTTCGGGTCGCCTACAAGTGCTAAGACCAGGCGGATGAACATGTACTTGTACGGATGTGTGGGAGCTCCTTTTCGACACGGGGCTCTAACTGGAAACGTCCCTCTCGCATTTTCTTAGGGTGGAGGGCTCGGGGTGAAATCCATATGGGCTTTCGCACCTCGAAGATCAATCCGTCTTGTGATTCACCTGTTGCAGATTCAAGCCTTGAAAATCAATCGAAACGGCATTCCAGATTGCACCCTTGGCCCTCCGTCCCCCAAAACATGTTCGGTCCCTGAACATCGTGGTCATACCTATCAGCACTCAGAGCTGTCGAATGATGGAGGGCGGCTTGTTTTGAAAGCGCCCACCCCACCCCCCCACCCCCGAGTGGCAGACTCCTGGGGCGCTTGTCTCTCAAGGGGATGCGTCCCGCAATGATGGGGGATGTGTGTGGTGACGTGTGGAGAGCAAGCTCTGGACGGGATGGCGCAGCACAGCCTCAGTATTACATCGTGGGCAGCTCCAGTCCTCATCATCATCCACTTTCCCCCACCTCGTTCCCGCCCTCCCCCTCCCCCCCCCTCCTCCTCCTCTGTTGTTTTCCTCCCCATCTTCCCTTCTTCTTCATTCTCCTCATCCCCCTTCATGCCCATTCTTCTCCTCCTCCTCCTCGGTGACTCGGCGATGCAGACAGCCTTGTCGATCTCCTCCTCCTCCTGCTCCTCCCCCTCCCTCCCTCCCTCCCTCGCTCCGCCTCCTGCCCCCCCTGCAGTTCGCACTTAACCTTAACCTCGTCCCCCCTGCCATTTCCTGATCCTCCCTCTTGTCCCCGTAGGAGTATGCCCGTCATCATACACTTGCTCCCAGAGTGCGGATGGGGCCACGGTTGGAATCAAATCCTGGCGAGCACAGCCACAGATCCTGCTAGACCCAGTTTGTTCCGCGCCAAGCGGGTGTAAGGGTCACTGCACCGACCTTGCAGACGTGCCCCAGCGGATGTTCGAATGAATTTCGGCTGATGCAAAACCCCGGAAAGGCGAGCGCAAAACGAAATTAATGTCACGTGGATGTTTTTAGTTTTCATTCCTGGGCAAAAGAATTCCGCACGAAATTCACCGCGAAATCCGGAACGAAATTCTCCAGGACAATCCGGGCCCATCCGATTGTTTTCCGAGCGAAATCCGCTCTGCGATGTTGGCGCCATGATAAACAAGGGTTGTGTAGAGACGACCACGCTGTGTAGCGGTTGGCGCGTCGCGCCTGCGTATCCATGCTGTTCGTACCGCCTCTGGCGGCGGTATAAACAAGGGCACCCCGACGCGTCGAGCGCAGCATGCGCAACGTGCGCCCTCGGCTTGCTCCAGGTCCCTGCGCTGTGCTGGCCGCCCGCACGGAAAGAGACGTCGAAACACACACATGCACATGCACACACACACACACACACACACACACACACACACACACGCGCGCGCACACACACACACACACGCACACACGCACACGCGCGCACACACACACACGCACGCACACACACAAACCCGCACACCACAAGGCGCGAGGGCTTCGGAGAAGTCTTGCCGCCTTCTGAGAAGGCCTTCTCCTTCTCACGTCCCCCCCCCTCACTCGCCGCCGACTCTCGTAGTTGAACCCGTTCCGAGTCCTCCTGCCGCTGCCCCACCCACCCACCCCTCACCACCACCCCCTGCCGCCCCATCGCCCCTCCACGCGTGGGCGGACCTCCTTCCACACAACACCCTTTTTGCGAAAGCTGCCTGCCACCAGACCTGGCTGGCCCCTTCTCCATCCCTCTTTACCTCTCCCCCCCCCCCTACGTCGTCGTCGTCGTCCTCCTCCCCCTCCCCCTTCCCACTGTCGTCGTCGCCGCCGCCATCATCCCTCTCCACCCCGTCCTGGCCCTCCCCGTCGCGCATACTCCTCCACCAAACGCGTCCCCGTCCTCCTCCTCTCCCCGCCCCGTCCTTCTGGGAAACATCCACATGCCTCCGAGAGCCTCGGGAGCACGGAGCCCGTCGACAGCAGTCCGTGCCCTCCGAGGACCCCCCCTCCTGTTCCCCCTTGTCGCCATTCTGAGCCTCCGCGGGGGGCGTGCGTGCGGCTCGTGCGCACGCGGGAAGGGCTATGTCCGGAGGGGAACCGGGACACACACACAAAGAACATAGGCACCAGTGGCCAGGGTCCCCATTTTCCTGTATCCTCTCTGGGCTTCTGCCTCCCCCCCCTCCCTTCCCACATGTCCCCAGAGCTCCCGGGGCATCGCCGAGGAACTGTGTCTCTGTGTGTGCTTTCTGTTCCCCTCCCGGAGATGTCAGGCGCTCAGCACGGGGAACAGGAGCCCGCCCGCCTGGCCCTCCATCAGGTACGCAAAGGCGCCGTGCCGGCCGCCCACGTTGACCTCTCGGGGGTCGTGCTCGTTGCCGTCGGGGTCGTCGTCGTCCTCCTCCTCCTAGCTCCTCCTCCTCCTCCTCCTCCTCCTCCTCCTCCTCCTCCATCTCCTCCTCCCCCTCCCCCTCCTCCACCTCCTCCCACTCCTCCACCTCCTCCTCCTCCTCCTTCCTCGTCCCTCTCCTCCTCCCCTCCCTCCTCCTCCTCCTCCTCCTCCTCCTCCTCCTCCTCCTCCTCCTCCTCCTCCTCCTCCTCCTGGGGGTCTCTTGTGGTCCTCCTGGGGCTGTCTTCAGAGGCCTCCTAGATGGGGTCCGCGTAGGTGACGATACACCGCCAATGCTTCGGCGATGCATCAGCCATGCACTGGCGATGTCGGCGATGCATCGGCGACGTGGGCGTGGAGAAACTTGAGCCCCACATCGAGCCGCATCACTGATGCATCGGCGATACATCGGCAATGCGGCGAAATCCTCCGACCCCGTCTACTCCGACACCATTTCGGAGGCCTAGACTCTTGACGCTCTCCTGTGCCGTCCCAGGCCCCCCGTTGGGGTGCTCTGGCCCCCACATTTCGCAATCCTCGCAGGGCCGTGGGCCCACATGAGGCCGATCTTGGGAACCTCTTGGGTTGCGCTGCGCAGTCTACAAACAGACAGACGAAAACGGCCATGGTAGAACCGTGGGAACGTCCACATATATATACACACACATATATATATATATATATGTATGTATACATCTCTATGTTTATATGAGCCCTGAGGTGTCTCCCCACTGGGATTGGATGAGCGGATTATTCTCTCGGGAGAGAGGCGCGCCCGCCGCGCCCACCCCTCTCCGAGCAAATCAGGTCGCGGCGTCGCGCGCGACACACGCATATAGACAGACATGTATGTAGACAGGCACGTATATAGCATTCCCACCTGCGCACGCCATTGAGGAGAGAAATCTGTTGTCAAAGATTGCGGACCCTGTCAAGATAACAGTCGAACGCACGTGCTACCAAGCTGGCCTGGTCAGGGTCCGGGCGCACATGCCTTGCCGTTAGCGCTTCACGCGTCGACCTCTGCAAACATCAGGGGAGGAGATCCCCGAGGATGTCCCGCAGAGTAGCCAGCACCTCTGCAATATTTGCTACTACCGAGCTTTGCTCAAGCTAATCGTCGCACGCACGTGCTACCAAGCTGGCCCAAATCGAGGTCCAACCGCACATGCCTTGCCGTGCGCGTTTTACGCGCCAATCTCTGCAAGCGTTACGGGAGATCCCCAAGGGACTGTCCCGAAGAGCAGCCAGGTCACCTCTGCAGCCTTTACTACTAATTATCCCCGTCTGCATCCACCTCCCCGGGGCATGCTTGGTTTTTGCGGAGAGGGCCTTGACTCCGGCATCGGAAGGACACTGCGACTAACGAGGAGGAGGAGGAGGAGGATGAGGAGGAGGAGTAGGACGAGGGGCAGGAGCAGGAGGAGGAGGAGGAGGCGGAGGCGAAGGAGGAGGCGCTCCGCAAGCCAAACACGCCCTTCATGTTTCTTGCGCTCCTCACCTCCTGGAGCTCTACTTCTGCGGAGCTCGTGCTCGCCGATTCCCCCCCCACCCCCGCGGCCTTCCCAAAGATCTCGTCTGGCATCACCCAGCAGAACTTTGTGGCGCCACGCTGACGAAGGTACGCAGAAGCCACTGGGTGGAACCGACCGCCCTTCTTCATCTTCTCGACGACGTTCTTTGGCAGAGGCTTCGGACTGTCAAACTGCAGGAACATCTCTTCCCGCTTGTGCGAGATGGCGTGCACCGACAGCACGGTGCCCTCCACGGAGCAGAAGCAGAAGCCCCCCTGGAACAGGAACTGCAGCAGAGGCTCGACACGAACCTCGGGCATCATCTCGGCACCTGGCTTGCTGCCCGAGCTCGGAGCGCTGCCCGACAAGGCAGAGGAGGGGAGGGGACGGGAGGGGGGGAGGGGGAGGAGGGAGAGGGGAGGAGGGAGGAGGGGGACAGGAGGGTAGGAGGGAAAAGGAGGCGAGGGGGGGGGGAAGCAGGGACGCAGGGCAGGAAAGGGATCATTGGCTGGTTGACCTCCGTCGCTGCCGCTCAAAAAGACCTGAGCCTACCCCGCAACCTCCTGGGCGGACTGCGCCGAGGGCAGCGCTATGACGTCAACCGCTCCAGCGCAGACCAAATTTGGGAGTGGAAACTCGGTTGAGGGCTGGACTTCACCGGCAACTGAGATGGGGAGGAGGAGGAGGAGGTGGAGGAGGCGGAGGAGGAGGAGGAGGCGGAGGAGGTGGAGGAGGAGGTGGGTTATCGCTCCCGCATAGGCTTGCGTTCTGCTCTCTGGACTTCTCGTCCGGGCTCCCAACTGCTGGAACCTCGCCACAACTGGGGGAACCACAAGGTAACGATACCGCTGCTCCCCGGGCCTCCCCCGGGGTGCGCTTTGATCAGAATTCCGAGGGCCCCCCCGTAGAACACGAAAGAACGGCATGACAATAAACTTTTGGCGCGCGGAGCGCGCCAAACATATGACGGACCCCCCTCCCTGGCGCGCGGAGCGCGCCAGAGGCAGCGCTGGAGGCGCCGCCAGGGGGCCTCAGCGCGGATCCAAGAAATCCGCGCGGAGCGCCAAAAGTTTATGTTTATGGTTTATAGCGTTTTTTCTTCTTCGATCCCAGGAAGCTCAAAAGGGCGAAACCGAGGGAAGGGTAGCGGTATGGGTACCTCATTCTCCTCTGAACAGCGTTGATTGGCCGATGTTCCACCACCGCTACCATAGATAGGAGAGGGGGGAAGAGGAGGAACAGGAGGAGGGAGAGGAAAAGGAGGAGGACCTATGGTAGTGGTGGAAAGTTTGCCCATCAACACCAGTCCCCAAGGGCCCCGAAACTCAGGATCGCCCCGACCCGCTCGGCAGATGCGGCCCCCGGGCGCCTGCCCTCCCGACCGCTCCTGGCGCTCTCTGCCACCAGACTGCTCTCAGATCGGGCCTGTCCCCCTACATGGGGATCTTGGACGACAAACCAAACATACCCCAAAACACGTGCAACGAATGTCCAAGAATACTCACAGCATCGTCCCCAGACTGTAACAGGCCCGACTTAAGACTGCGCGCATCGCGCCCTCCGATGCGCGATGCGCACTCGCGCCGCCCCCTTGGGAGAAAGGCAGAAACGCGGCGATCAATAACGGGTCTTACGCGAGACATGCGTACCCTACGCCGCGGCTTACGCGGGCCGACAGCGCGGCGTGCTGCATCGGAGGCGAGGGCGGCTGCGCGCGACCGTGCGCGGGCAGCTTGCCCGCGCGAGTGTCGGCGCAATGGGACCCCTCTTTTCCGTCGCACGCTCTGACCCGAACCGCGACGCGGAGAGCGCGGTCGCCTGCACGGCCCTGGGGGGGACCCTGCGCTCTCGGAGGAGCACGCGGGGCATGAGCATAACCTGTCCGAGGTCGGCGCGGAGCGCCGAAATATTATGCTCGGCAATTCATGTCGTCTGCTCTTCCACAGACCTCCGGCTGCTCCAATTGTTTTCGATACCTGGGCCCCGATGGTCTGGACAACTTCCCCAGGAGTGGTGCTTGGTCCCGAGTCGCTGTTTGTCGCTCCCGAGGCCCAGCGAGGGCCCCCGGATGCCGAAAGCGGCCCGAACCCCGCCGCTCCAACTGTTGTTGGAGCATCGGATCTCTGGGACTAGGTCCAAGGATTTGGCGTCGCAGCCCCAGCGCCCTCGTGTCTGTCCCTCAGCGGGAAGACCCAGAAGTAGGACTCCGCCTCTGGGCATTACTCGGACGTCCCTTCCCTGTGCTTTTGTCGGCTTCGCGCGTGGCTTTTTCGCCAAATGATCAAGGCTGCTCCTCGATGGTCCTCGCCGAAAGAAGATTGCACACGTCCGAGCGATGCCAAGGCCTCCTCCGGGATGCCGGCCAGCCTCCGCCCGTGGCTGGAGAGGGTGACCCGGTACGTCGGCGACGTGACCAGCGCCAGCGATGTCGTCGAGGAGTCCTGCCAGCGCTGTGGAGGGCGATCAACGGAGAGGAAGCATGGTGCCAAGTACTTTCCAGATGTCTAAAAGATGTTTCAAACATGTTTTAACTATGTAAACAACATGGTTAGAACATGTTTACACATGTTAAACACATATTTAATTCGATGATCGGATTGTTAGAGTGTCTATTGTCGTGGCATCCACAATGCCAGCACCTGCAGTTTAAGCTCGGCTGCAATGGCGCTGTTGCGCACTGCTGCGCGACCTGCCGAGCGAGTTCCGAGGGGGAAAAAGAATACCCATGATGCTACCCTTCGCTCGTTTTCCCCTTTTCAGGCCTCCTGGGAGGCCCTCGCCGCCACCGCTGGATTCGCCTCGAAATTCTTGTCAAAACGCACCATGGGAAAGGTCCAGGGGGAGAAGCGGTATCGGTACCTTTTGGTTCCCCCATGAGTAGCACTTCAGCTCTCACCCGCTCTCTGTAGCGCATGCAGTGCTTCTCTCTGGAAGCACGCCGCGATCAGACCAACCGAGGGGGTCCTTGGGGCCGAAACTCCTCCGCTGAAAGGCTAGCCGGCGCGGCCTAGACGGTAAAGGGGGAAGAGAGAAGAGGCAAGCGTACCCCAACGAGCTCACAACAGAAACCCATCGCTATTGCCATGCTTGGCGACAACGATCCCGTCTTGACTTCCCAAGCGTGGCAGCGGATGTTGTCGGCAGAGCAACTTTATCCACACGTTCCACTGTAAGAGTGGCTGGGTACCGTTGAGCTTGTCACATTACTTGTCGTGTCTGGCGCTGTTTCAAGAAGAGTCCTGGTAAGGCTGCTCCATCAACTTCCTCGGGTCGAAGTCGAACAGCTTCCTGCTCTTCAACAAGGTGTTGTTCAGCAAGCCTTCGGGCGCCAGGTATCTGGATAGACTCGAGCAACACGTGAGCGGGGATCCGAAGGTCAAACTGTCCTCATTGGACTGACAGTGAGCACATGCGAAGCCTGCATTCCGTCGGAGTCGCACCTGCCACTGATGCTCTCACTGGACGGTTGGCTCGGATGAGCGTTCGCAGACAACCCTGGGTCCCGCGCAGGGCGGAGCCGACTGCGATTGCAAGAACGCGCGGCGGCCAATGGCGGCAAGACCAGGTTTTCCGCCCAGGTTGGCCCCGCATCAGGAGGCCGGGACCGGAAGGGGTTGCGGTCGTACCCCTCTCCCTCCCCCACCCCCGCCGCACTCCCTCCCCATCCTTCCCCCCCCTCCCTTCCTCGTTCCCATCCCCTTCTCCCTTCTCCCTTCTCCTCTCTCCTCTCCCCCCGTTCCCCTGCTGTCCCGTTCTGAGGAGACATTCAGACACCGATATCGCTACCTCCCGGACCTCTCCCAGGGTGCGTTCTGACGAAGATTTCGGAGCGAATCCAGCGGTGGCGACGAGGGCCACCCAGGAGGCCTGAAAAGGGGAAGACGAGGGAAGGTAGCGGTATGGGGACCTTTTCCTCCTCTGATGTTCCCCCTCTCCTGCCTCTCTTCGCTGACGCCCAAAGTGGAACTTGCAAGTCTGGCCCAAGTGGGGAAACAGGCCCTCAGCGAGCTGGGTGGAGGACCTGTCTTCCCAGGCCGCGCCGCGCGCCCCCGAGCAGGACATGCGCGGCCTGGCCAGGCACGATGTCGCTCGCCATCGCTCGGGCGTCCATTCCCCATGCGTGTTTCGGTTCTGCCCGCACATAGGAACAAGGAAAAAACGGCGCCACCACCACCACCAGGGACCACCAGCGGGAGGAGCTCGGGGGGTCCCCCTGGTGGTGCTGCTCCTCCCCCCCCCCTCCTCGCTCGAGACCAGAGACCAAAAAAAACACCCTCATCTCATATGCACCCCGAGCACCCAAGGACGGAATCGAGCAAGGCGAGGCTGTCTGGTAAACGCCCGGGGCCGTTTACCAAACGCCACTTATCGGGGTGGGGGTGCTTTCTCCTCCCTGGACTCTCGCTCGAGACATCCTCCATCCCCAGCTCGGGGAGGCACCGTGGACCTTCTCGCTAGGGATGGCCTCCCTGGTGGCGGTGTCGCTTCTCCCCCCCCCCCGATCGGAAGGCGAAGGATCTGGATGGATATGTCTGGTCCCAAGCCCCAGGGCCCGAGCACATCCACATCCGCCGCCTGCCGAGGTCCCGCAGAACGAACTGACTGCCTACCAGACCACCCCAGCATGACCCGAAGACTCCAAATTTCGGGTCGGGGAGGCACGGGGCACGGGCTCCACAGGTGTGCTGTCAATGTTCCCCGACGCCCCCCCCCCACTGGGAATGGCGGGCCGATTGGGGCCTTCGGGCTGGGCTGGGGCAGCCTGGCGGGTGGTGGCAAACCCCAGGGCCCGAGGCCCGAGTGCATCCATATCCACCGCCTGCCGAGGCCCCCGAAGAGCAACCCCCAGGCGGTGGTCATGGACAGGTGCCCACCTCGAAAAGCCCGGCTGCACGCACGAGTGGCCCTAGGCCCCTGGGCAAGAGTGACCTTCAGCGAGCGATCCAAGCACGCAGGCAGCCACTATCGCATCGCGCCCAGCGATCGGGCGTGCCCCGGTGAACCCGCACCACTGGTCACTCCGGCGAGGGGTCACTCTCCAGCGCCGATCCAGGAAGTGCGCGCGGAGCTCCGAGAATTCATGTTTATGCCATGCTCTGTTCCTCTTGAGAGGGGCCTAGCCCACCACTGCGGGTTGGTCATGGAGCCGACTGCCAGTCCCACTCGCAGAAGCTCCTCCTCCTCCCTCCTCCCTCCCTCCCTCCCTCCCTCCCTCCCTCCCTCCCTCCCTCCCTTACTCCTCCTCCTCCTCCTCCTCCACAGACCCTCGACGTCGTGATCTTTCCACAACGTCAGGTCTGGACCCCTTTCCCGGGACCAGCTCTTACGTCCCCGAGGCCCGGGAAGGGCCTCCGGAGGCCGAGAACTGGGAACAGAAAACCTCCCGTCGTGTTTTCCCCCACATGTTTCGTGGGGTTATGGTTTTCATCCCTGCCGCGTCGCACCCGCGACGCTCACTCACCTCCCCTCCTCCCTCCTTCTCCTTCTCATACAGCGCAGCACAGCTCACCACAGCACAGCTTAGCTCAGCACAGCACAGCTCAGCACAGCACTGCAAAGCATAGCACCTCAGCACAGCTTAGCTCAGCTCAGCACAGCACGACGGTCGTCCAGGGCACAGCAGTTGTGAGGTTTTGTCGACACCATAAAGGGGGTGCGCAGGGGGTGGTCCCCGAGCGCGGCGTCTATGCGGGCCATGGCGCAGGGCATAGCAAGCGTGGCACTTTCTCGACACCATAGGGGGTGCGCAGGGGGTGGTCCCCGAGCGCGGCGTCTATGCGGGCCATGGCGCAGGGCATAGCAGGCGTGGCATTTTCTCGGCACCATAAGGGGGTGCGCAAGGGGTGGTCCCCGAGCGCGGCGCCTATGCGGGCCATGGCGCAGGGCATAGCAGGCGTGTAATTTGGTCGGCACCATAATAAGGGGGTGCGCAGGGGGTGGTCCCCGAGCGCGGCGTCCATGCGGGCCATGGCGCAAGGCATAGCAGGCGTGGCGCTTTCTTGACACCATAGGGGCTGCGCAGGGGGTGGTCCCCGAGCGCGGCGTCTATGCGGGCCATGGCGCAGGGAATAGCAGGCGTGGCACTTTTTCGACACCATAGGGGGCGCGCAGGGGGTGGTCCCCGAGCGCGGCGCCTATGCGGGCCATGGCGCAGAGCATAGCAAGCGTGGCACTTTCTCGACGCCAAAGGGGTGCGCAGGGAGTGGTCCCCGAGCGCGGCGTCTATGCGGGTCATGGCGCAGGGCGTAGCAGGCGTGGCTGGTTCCCGACACCAGAGGGGGTGCGCAGGGGGTGGTCCCTGAGCGCGGCCGGTATCCGAGCCGGTCAACCAGGGCGCAACAGGCGTGGCGCCTTCTCGACACCATGGGGGTGCGCAGGGAATGGCCACCAACATCATTCTCACATGCTCCACTTCAGCTATCATCACTCCAGCCATAATATAAGTATGTGGGGTTCCTCGGTAGCGTAATTTTGCTCACATCGGCTACGCGTAAGAGTGACCGTGGGTAAGAGTGATCTTTGGTGCGCGGCTTTTGGGGGCCGCTGGGGGACCGAGCACAAGCGTGCAAGACACTACTGCCGCATCGCGTTCGGTGATCGGGAGGCCCCATTGGGCCCGCACCAAAGGTCACTCCGGCGAAAGGTCACTCTTACGCATAGTCGATGTCACACCTCGAGGGCCTCCCCTCCCCTCCTCGGCGCCCTGGGCCTCTGAGCGACGCCGGGAGCGCGTCCGAGTCGGTGCGGAGCTCCAGCTCGTCCGAGCGCGGGTCGTGGCGGAAGAGGGCGGCCTCCTTGGCCGGCAGCCGCACCAGGGGCAGCGGCGCGAGAGACTGCGGGAAGTCGCCGATGTCGTTGGCCCTGCGTGCTCGGAGGGCAGAAATGGGCGGCGAGCGAGGGGGGGAAGTGAGAAGGAGAAGGCCTTCTCGGAAGGCTCAGAGGTCCCCCGGCCTCCCGAGGAGTTCTCGGAGCCTGCTCCGAAGACCAAAACGACTTCTCCGAAGGCGCGAGGGCTTGTGAGAAGTCCCGCCGCCTTCTGAGACGGCTTTCTCCTTCTCATTTCTCCCCCGCGCTCGCCGCCGAAGAAAACCCTGAGATCCTGGCGTTGCCATTTTTTCACCAAGGGCGTCTTCGCTCAACTTCGGGCCCCGGGACCCTCACAGATCGGCATACGGCTCGAGAAAATGGCGCAAGAAGACGGGGTCCGGGGCTCCGGTCGTGTTTTGTTTAGCAACGTTGCAGTTGTTCTGCAACGGCGGATCTCAGGGTCATGATAAGCATCCCAGCAAGCAAAGCCGTTTGGCAAACGCACCCGAGGAAGGAAGGAATCGAACAGGCCCGGGCAGTTTCGTAAACGCCCAGGGCCGTTTCGCACATGTAAATTATGCGGGTCGGGGTGGTTTTTCCTTGCCTGACTATTAAGAGATAGGCTTCCATGCACCGTACCATGTCTGGACTCCGCTCAGGCCCCGCTCCAACGCGATGCGGCGCATCGTTTTCATTCGGCCCTGGGGGCTGGAACAAGAACGATGAGTCGTGGATCGACGACGCACCGTACCACTCCTGAGTCGTGGATCGACGACGCCTCGGGAGACGCCAACGCGGTACGGCGCACACAAGTCGTCCGCGGGCCTGTGCGCGAAGCGGTTCTGCAGCACGCCCCAGGAGCCCTTGGCGTCGATGGTGGCAAAGGCGGACAGGGCGGGCACCTCTGGCAAGCCGACGTGAATTTCTCTGATGACGCGGGCGAGAGGGCGAGAGGGCGAGATAGAGAGAGAGAGAGAGAAAGAGAGAGGGAGAAAGAGAGAGAGAGAGAGAGAGAAAGAGATAACATAAGTGCGATGTGTCGTCTTCCGTATGCGTCCTTGGCTCAGGGTGTCGAGAGGAGCAGTCCTCGATTGATCCACGCTCAACCGAGGTGACCCCCCAAAACAGGAGAGCTTGGCATCGTGAAGTCGATACCTTGATTGAGTGATTGACAGAGACAGAGAGAGAGAACAAAAAAAAAAACAGAGGAAGAAATATCAAACAAACGAACTAATGACAACAACACGTAAAAAAGAGAGAGAGAGGGAAAGAGAGCACACACCCATGCCAGCGGTGAGGCAATTAATTGCCGAGGAAGAAGGGCCCACATATAGATCAACGACTGCCCCGGTTTGGTGGTTCTCCCTTGGGAGGGCCATGGCTCCCTGAGGCGGCTCAGATGAAGATATGTCACAGCAGATTGGCACTGCGCCTTCTTACTTGTCGCATCTGGCTCACGCCACGCACGACATTAACAACAACAACAACAGCAGCAACAACAACAACAACAACAATCACAACAACAACAGCAACAACAACAACAACACCAACAACAACAACAACAACAACAACAAAAACAACAACAACAACAAAACAACAACAACAACAACAACAACAACAACAACAACAGCAACAACCACAACCACAACCACAACCACAACAACAGCAACAGCAACAGCAACAGCAACAGCAACAACAACAATTGCCCGACGCAGATTGGGGTACGGAATGCTAGTGGCAAGCGCGCGCCTACCAGACGGGGCAGCTGCGCACCCAAAATGTTACCCGGCTAGGCGGCTGCCCGAGACCTCGCATGCAGATGAGAAGAAGCCAGCGAGCGAGCGAGCGCCGACACCGTTCCGCGCGTGCGCGGGGATCGCTTCCTGAGCAGGGCGGCGGCGGGGCCGCGGCCCCTCAGGGGTCCGGGGCCCCCCAGGGTCACCTCCTGACCCCTTGGCAGAGCTCTGGCTCGCAGAGGTCCGCTTTGTGACTCAAACTTGTCCGGGTTGTCGTCGGCTGCCTTTTGTGCCCATTCTTGTTTTCCTCTCTGTTGTGTTTCAGCCCAGCTGTCATAGCTGATATTTGCCAAGACTGGTTCAGCCACGTGAGTCATGCGTGGTACCACTCCACCCAAGACTCAATCCCAGAGGTGGGAGACTCCACCCAAGAGGGGGCAGCGGAACAAAAGGAGGGAAAACTGATGGGGAAGCGGGGGAAGGGGAAGTGGGGAGGGGGAAGTTAGCGAGGAAGGCGAAGTGAGGGAAGAAGGCGAGGAGAGTGGACAAAAGAGGGGGAAGTGGGCGAGAAGGCGAATGGAAGAGAGGAGGGCAAGGAGAAAAAGGGAAGCAATTAGGCGGCGGAGGCGCACGTGGAGCAGGACCAGTGCGGTGCTGGAGCTTCCGCCCCCGCGAGCCTCCCCCGAGTTGTCGATGCGAGCCACGAAGTCGCAGAGCGGCGTCAGTTTGTTCAGCGCCTGGCCACCGGGAGGAAGGGCCCGAGCATCCGAGTTCGTGAGAGGAAACCTGCGCCGCAAAGAGGGAGACCACCACGTGAACGTTGTCTTGTCCGGCGTTTCGACATGGAGCGGAATGGGGGGGCAAGGGGGGGTCTGGCTCTGGAGCTCTGCTTAGCGCGACTGCTTGCAACAGGGCGCCCATGATGGGGGAGACTCCACCTGCTCAAGACAGGCGCCAAAAACAGCCAAGATCTACCCCACAGCGGAAGAGGGGGTGCGAAGGCCCGCGCCGATCGGCAAAACAATGAATAAGAAAACGACCGCCACTCGCCTCTCATCTTTTATGCTTCGCGTTTCGAGCTCGATCGGCCTGAGTGTCATGGGACCCGAGCGGGACGAGAACGCCAAGAATGATCTGTTCGCGACGCCCCGATGCCCAGGAAGGCGGAAGAGGATGTGCGCGCCTTGTCCATAGCCCCGAGTGAAGCCTGGATCAAGTTCTCCGGCACGTTGCGGCCAGTCCTCCCAGTTGAGGTGGAGACAGCATGAGTAACAGCAGAGGGAGATAGAACGAGCGAGGACGAGCAGGAGAAGGAATAAAGGAGTAGGGAAGATGGTAACTACTATGGGGTCCAGAATGTGTTTGCTGGCTGTCACTCGGATTCAGGAGATTATTGGTTAAAGGCGGGAATGGATCAATACGACAAGAAACAAACATCAGGAGAACCCATAATCTGAAGCTAGCCTTAGGTCGGGCGTGTCCTCCTGCAGGCAGATTTTGGACGACAAATAAGAACATACACCCAAAAACGATACATTGCTATTTCTGAATATTCCTCCTGTAGAGGGACAGGCCCGACTTCATGCTTGGCCCTGAACGCAAACACACTTGTTTTGTGGACGAGAGACAGGTCGCCTCGGTGATTGAGCAATCACACCACGTCGTGAGAGATTCGAGCCTTACTGGTTCAGCCCAAATACAGGGGCCCAGAGACACACAAGTGAAATCACACAAATCCTAGGATTCCCCGTATTTTCCTATATTTTCTGGATGTTTGACTTCCCCTCCCCTTCCCATATTTTGCCATATTTTCCTGGGAGCCGACGATTAATCGTGTCTGTGTGTTTTTCCCCTCCTGACTAAGCCCCAGCATTCGCCGAGTCGCAGCGTATCTGCACAATCATGTACACGCGATGAGCCTGTGTTGCACGCACCGTCCCTGACGCCAAAACGCGGCTGTCCGAAAAGTCTGCTGTCCTCCGTCCCTGGTCGCGTTGTCTGGGAAGCCTGGGCCCGTTGGCGCCTGTCGGAATGCCCGAGCTGGTCACATCGGCTGTCCACGCGATGATCTTCCTCATTCTCCCTCGGGCTCCCTCGGATTCAAAAGCAGATGCCCCCCTGGGTAAGACAAAAGCCTCGTGATGGGGTGCGCTGGAGGCCGTGGCGGCCTCCTCGGAAACCCAGAGGGCACCTTGGGCCAGGGGCATCTCAAGCAACACCCAATCAGATAGCGCCTCCTCTGCGCGGATACCGGCCCCGCGGCATATGCGATGCGCCCCCCTGGAATTAAGTCGCACATGTCCTCGTACAGGCGGATTTTGGACGAAGAATGAAAAATACCCCCGAAGTACCCCAAAATGATGTAAAAAACGAATATTCGAAAAATCGTCCCCAGACTACTTTTTGGGGTGCTATTTTTGAATATTCCTCCTGTAGAGGGACGTGCCCGACTTCACCCTGGAACAAAAAAAGGCACAAGTGCATGACGTTTTTCCCGGTCGCCCTTGAACCGCCGCCCCCCCCCCCCACGGCGGGATCCTGCACAGTTTCTGCCGGCTCTGTCGCCAGAAAAGTGCGGAGGTGGAAAACAAGACAGAGCAGGGCGATGCAGCCATCGTGCTGCCATCAGGAGCGCGTTTCTTTATTTTCGGCGATGATGGGCATTCTAGGGGGGGGAAGGCGGCCAGGGGGGGGGTGCAAAGTAATGTAACGCCTCCCCCCCGCAGTGCGCACGGCGGCAGAGCCTGGAGCGCACTGGAGGGGAAGGGCGTTACGTTATAGGGGGGGGGGAGGGGTGGGCCAGGGGCTGTAATGCCCATTATGCCCCAAGCAATAAAGAAACACGCTCCAAGAACGCTGAATACAGTGGGGGCCTTGTGAATAAGGAACCGTTGGGTAAGGAATCCAGGGTCTGGAGGCCGGTGGAACTCCGATCGTGGGTTGGCCATGGATGTCATCGCCGCCCTCATCGAAGAAGGAATCCTCGAGGGACTGGAGCCTCCTGGGCACATTCCTTAACCAACGCCCCCACCGCCGGGCAAGAAAACACTTGTCTGGCCACGGCGAGCCTCGGTTACGAATGGGCCCCCCGCTCCCCGACCTGCATCTGCGGGGCGGCCCCGAAAGCAGAGGCCCCACTGCATTCAACGCGGTCCTTACTTCGGCGTCTTGGCAATAAGAGGAGGACCCAAACATCCGGCGCTCAATTTGTTCACAGCGTGGATCAGGTTTGGTCAACTTCCCAGGAGCTGGCTTTTGAACCTGCACTCGTTCTTGCCGGTCCCGGGCCCACGGAAAGGGCTCCCCCCCCAAAAAAAAACCTGCCGCCTACTTTTCTTGCTCCTGGAAGCCAGCATCACTGGGGAAGGCCAACTCCCTAACCCTAGGAGCGGCGATTTCGCGATCTCTGGGGAAGGCCCATTTCTGAACCTCGGGAGCGGCCATGAATGCGAGAACACTGGCGCCGCTTCAAGCAGCGCCAATGTTCTCGCATGGGTGGCCGCTCCAGGCTTCGGGGGCGACGCCTGCCAGAATCTGCCAGCCTGCATGGCCAACTGATGACAGACGGGCGACGAGCCCGCATACTGCCAAGGCCTTCCCGGGCCAAGCCAAGCTAAGAAAGGACGAGGAAGAGGAGGAGGAGGAAACATACATCGTAAGCCAGGGTGGATACGGAGGACGAACTCCATTGCCGACAATAGGACAACGGACAAGAGAGCGAACGAGAAGAAAGCCCGTTTAGGGGCATTCCCTCAAAGGGGGCTTTGGGATGAGGCGGACAATGGCCAGGCAGCAGGCAGACCTGTGAAACAGGCCACCGGTGCCAAAGCGGGAATCTACCCAGTAGTCGACAAACTGGGTAGGCTCTAGTGAGGTATTTTGCAATGAAAAACGGCGCGCGCCGACGCCTGGAGGTGCGGGAGGGGGAGGAGGTAGTGTGAAGGAGGAAGAGGGCGAAGCACGAATCACGTGATGAAGAGCCGCCGAATCCTTCCAGACCTCATCGAGATGACCCTCGATCTCGCGCGAATGGCATCCTGCGCAAACCTGGGAGACCTGATCCCTCGAGCACGGGCGGCGTTCAATGCTGCGAAAAAGGAGGTCACGTGCAGCACTAAGGGCAAGCACCGGGTCACTAATTATTTAGGTGGATGCCTACGGAGGAGGAGGAGCAGCAGCAGAAGGGAGGAGGATGGGCAGCAGGAGGAGCAGAAGGCGACATGACCGGCACCGCGGGTGCGCGCGCCAGGCGGCTTGCCAACGAAAGAAAGGTGGCACGAGCTGTTCAAGGCCACATCGATGAGAGTCAAGACTGGGATGGTGAGGCGGGGAAAGAGGGGGAATCGAAATCGGAACAGACACGAAACACCATTCTGAACGAACGCCATCCACTGCCGTCTCAGACTTCGACTCAGACGGCGAGGCAGATGAAGAGGAGCTGGAAATAACAGGGCCATTGAGCCCAACAGCACGTACACAACTGACAGGACAAGGAAGCCCAAGAAGCGGCAAAATGATACCTCGAACGAGTACCGACCACGCAGCAAACTAGTTCACGCCGCTGTGAGATCAAAAAACTGGGTTCACTCCTTGTCTCCACGAATCACAAGACCGTGTTATGAACAAGAAAATATAGTTATCCACAACTGAATTCAGTACTACCGGCCAGGACACAAATTTTGGCGACAACTCCTCCTCGTTCAACACCGCCATTCCAAGCCACCGATGCGGTCAGCTCTGCTTGAAATTTGTTTGGCTCGTAGGCTGCCCAGCCCGCCTCGGCAGCAGCCGGCAGGGCGGTCATCTGCCGAAGGGGCCCGTCGTCTTCGAGGCCATCCAGCACGCCGCCAGCAAGCGCTCGCCCAGCGGCTCGGCAGCGGCGGCTCCGCCGCTCCTCTCTACGAAGACCTCTCTCGGTGCTCCCGCGACGGCGGCGGCGAAGGCGAAAGCCAGCCTCGGCGCTGTGACGGCAGCGGCGGGGGCCGCCTCGACCTCCTGCGCGCACAGCACCGCAGCCTTCCTGACAGCCTCCACGGACGTCTTCGAGATGTCGAGGCGGCTGGGGCTGTCGTCCGAAAGGACCTGCGCATCACCAGCTTTCGTAGCTCCCGCGTCGGCATCGCCGTCACCGCGAAGCGGACCAGCAGCTCCAGCGGCTCCGTCTGCGCATCGAGAGGGACTGCCGATCCCTTCATCGGCTCCACCAGCAGGAGCTCCGCGAGGACTCCAGGCAGCCAGGGCCTCGCTCAGCGCGGCGCCGAGCGAGGTGAGCAGTTGCCCACGGTGACCCTCGATCTCGCCGAACGCGGACAACAGATGCAGGGCGGCTCGACCTCGCGGCCGCGCGTGCTGCGAGCGGCGCTCCGCTGCAGTACCGTTGCGGCGCCAGGGGCGCCGAGCCGCGTCCAGGTCCATGGCACGCAGGGGGTCACCCAGGGTGGCGAGGGGGAGAAGAGAGCGGCGGGCGGCGCGAGAGCGCCCTGGCGCAGGCTCGGGGGCCCTGGGACGGGGCCGAGCTGGCGCTGGAGGAGGAGGACCGAGATGATGGCTAGGAAGGAGTGCGAGGAGGAGGAGGAGGAGGAGGAGGAGTAGGAAGAGGAGGTGAAGGAGGAGGAGGAGGTGGAAGAGGAGGAGGAGTGAGATGGGGAGGACGAAGACAACGGCGACGGATGACCCAGCGCCCCAGCCGCCCTGGGCCGCTGTGCGCTTCCAGGCGCAGGCGGGAAGCGGCAGCCTGATAGTCTTCAGCCTCAAGCGGACTCACCAGCATTGCAGCTGCCCGCCCCCTGCTTCGGTGGCAGCTCATGGGAGCCTCCCATACCATCTTGTCGGCTCTTGCGAGTCGACGCTAATCGACGCGAAATAAATCGACGCCAAATCGACGTTAATCGACGCTCACCGACGCTAAATCGGCACACATCATCGACTCCCAGACGCTAACCGACGCTAAAGACAGAATTAAGAGGGTACACCAGGGCCCCATGACTCGCTACCGAACCCTCCACCCCCGCCCCACAACCACTCTCCGGAGCAGCCGTGCGCTTTTCGGCGCAGGAGGGAAGCGGTCGCCTGCTAGTCTTCAGACTCAAGCAGACTCACCAGTGTATGGCCACGATGCAGGCGATGTATCGGCGATGCGCCGATGCATCGTCGATGCATCGGCGATGCACTGGCGACCTCGGCGATGCATCGGCGACGCCGGCGTGGGGAAACACGGTCTCCACATCGAGCCGCATCAAGGATGCATCGGCGATGCTGCGCGATGCTCCGACACCATCTGCTCGGACCCCATGCAGGAAGCCTAAAGCCTGTCACAGGAGAAACACTCGGCTCTGAACCGGGGTGGCCGTGACTAGCCGGCGGGCTCCGGGCAGTCCTCTCCGCGCGTATCTGGATGCGCTGCCGGATGACAGCCTCCCGCCCTTCCTTCGGTGCTGGAGAGGAGGAGCGAGGCAGAAGGGGGGGGAGCGGGAGGGGTGAGAAAGGGAGGAGGGAGGGAGTTCGGTGGCAACTCATGGGAGCCTCCCATACCAGCCAGCTATTGCGAATCGACGCTGGTCGACGCTAAATGGACGCGAATCGGTGCTCACCAACGCTAAATCGGCGCTGTCTCGTCGGCTCCCAAGCGCTAATCGACACTAACCGAAGCGAAAGACGGAATTGAGAGGGTATACCAGGCTCCCACGATCGATTTGCTACTCAAGGCGAGGAAATCCTTGTTATGCTCGTGCTTGTCCTCGTTCCCCTACTTCCCTCACCGTCCTCCTTCTTCAATTACTCTTCCTTGTCATCCCTGCCAACGCGATCCCGTCTCTCTCATCTTTCTGCTCCTTCTACCCTGGATCGTTCTGAGACTTCTTAAGCACACATGGTGCTTCACATAAATCAATGTCCATCTGCATAGGCTTCCGCACGCAAAAGATCCCACGCACACGCACACACACACACACAAAACACACGCACATGTGGTCCCTTCCGCGAAGAACCTGTCTTGGGGCCCACGCGCCAACTTATGTGTTATCTTTGTTCTCTGGCATCCTGGCTCTTGCTGGGGAGGGATCTCTATATGTCCTGGGAGGGGCGCCTCTACTCCTCTTCCATGGGGCAGAAAGGCCCACGCGGATTTCTTGGATCTGCGCTGAGCCCCCCCCCACTCTCTCTGGCGCGCGGAGCGCGCCAGGGGCGGCGCCAGAGGCGCCGCCGGGGAGGGCCAGGCGCAGATGCAAGAAACCCGCGCGGAACGCCAAGAGTTTACGTTTATGCCGTTGCTTGTTTTAAGTCGGGCATGTCCCCCTACAGGGGGATTGTCGACGAAAAATAAAAAATACCCCAAAAAATATTCCAAAACGGCCAACAAATACTCAAAAGGTAGTCCCCAGACCATTTTCTGCATATATTTGAGTATGCCTCCTGTAGAGGGACAAGCCCGAACCTGATGCGTGTGCTTCGAAGAGGGCCTGGCCAGGAACCCGGCTCTGAGAGCCTGCTCCGTCGGGGCACGCGGACCCCGAGCCGGGAAGCACTCCCTCCGAACCTCGGCAAACCAGGGGGGCGGCGACCGGAACGGAGGAGCCCGCCCGAGGTCTCGGTCCGCAAAGCGAGAGGAGGGGAGGGGGAGGGGGAACGGAAGCAGGGAGGAGGAGGAGGAGGAGGAGGAGGAGGAGGAGGAGGAGGAGGAGGAGGAGATGGACGAGTAGCAGCAATCGGCTCAAACCACGAACTTCACACTGCGACAACCGGTGCCACCTGCGCCAGCGCTCCGTTCTACGCCGTCGGTCTGTGGAGGCCCACTGGACCGGATACACAGGACCAGCCGACCTACCACGAGGCGGGAATCTGGCGGCTGGAGTTCTTCCATGACAGTAAGTGGGCGGCTTCGGAAACCATGAACCCACACATGTTTTTGACTACCTGCCAGACCACCCCAACCCAACCCGAAGACCCGAATTTCGGGTTGGGGGGGTATGGGCCCCATGCGTGTTCTTTCGATGCTCCCCGACCCCCCCACACTGGAAATGGAGGGCAACTTGAGGCCTTCGGGCTGGGTTGGGGCGGTTCGGTGGGTGGTGAGCTTTCAGCTCTAAGGGGGGCACATCTTTTACCTCCGCCGTCTTCCGCGCCGAGCTTCCGCAGGCGTCCGCCGGCGGAGGCGGCCCTGTTTTGCTTTCGCCGACCTTCCGCTGAGGAAGAGGCGGCGGCTCCTTCGATCCTCGAAGGCAGGAATCTCTTTGGAACGTCTCTGGTGGGTACAAATGGCCTGCAGAATCAGTGTGGACAACAGCGGCAACCTGCACTTCAAAAGTGCGGGCATCAGAAACGCCCTTCTGAAGTGCCGTCTACACGGTCAAGTAATGGTTTACCGTTTCTTTTCGTTCTGGGGAAGTCGAAAACGGAAATAAAACAACGCTCGAAAACGTAAATAAAAATGCGCCACGGGGTAGCGTAAACAGGGAGGAGCAATCAATCACTTAAAACAGCGCTCGCCAGAACCTCTCGAACCCTCCGAACTGGAAAACAAATTGCGCCTGCGACTGAGAGAAGCAAATGGCCCCTAGCATGCCTGCACGAGACGATCGACCGCTAAATGAGAAAGGGAAACAGAACAACGCGGCACGAAGAAAACAAATAATGGACTAAGAGAACACGGCAACGAAACCTGACAAACTACCCTGTTGGTGTCAACCGAAACGGAAATACGATGGAGCCGACAGACAAAGGACAGAAAACGTGACACATCAAAACGGAAAACAAAATGTTCAGACAGGTTTTGACGGCAATCTAAGTTCGGCACTACCTGAAGTACACCACCGACTACGCCATCAACATATGCAAAGGCAAATGCGGTGAACTCAAGCTTGACGTACGACCTGGTAACCGACTGGAAGGACCGCATTACGGACAACAACCACCGTACCTCTGGCTCAGGGGTGCTGGACATCTACTAGGGGCGTATATTATTGCCGAGACCAGACCTTGGACATCGGCAGTACGATTCCCATACTACCTCCCATTCGATCCCGAGGTAGACGACTACGTCACGCTGGAAACCACTACTACCCCTACTATCGCGGACCTCACGAAGGCTCTGGTGAAAAAGCTGTGCAACATCGGTAAGGTACGGACGACAGCAACAGCGACATCAACTTCATCCAAATCTACTACATAGGCCACGGGGCCAACGAGTTGAGCGACAAAAGCTTCACTATCAGCACTCATTCGCAGGAACACAAAGTACTGCCTCGAGATCACGGGCCCTCAGGGACAGGATATCACCAACGAGTACTACACGACGCAAGGCCTGGCGGCATGCCTGCACCCATGGGTGGTATCAATAGGCACTCCGATAACGAGCTGGACCGTACCATCAAGCGCCAGCGAAACGACGACACGCCCTAGAAGGACATACGACGCGCACATCAATTATAATCCCATGTACAGCGCCACAGACACGGGTATCCCATGTACAACACTACATTCCAAAGACTACTTCTCCAAGACGTACGCTGTAGCCACGCTTAGTGGCCCGGCCGCCCCCCTGCCATCTTCCTCTCCTCCCTCTTTACGAGGCCTCGAATTGTTGGATGGCTTGGTGGCCTCCCTCCCTGGCCCCCGACGTCGCGATTTTTGTCACAACGTCGACTCCCAGAGACCTGTACCCCTCCCCGGGGACCCGTTCTTCATCCCGAATCGTTGTTGGACGCTCCTGGGGCCCCGGAAAGGGCCCCCGGGGGCCGAACACAGCGTCTGGGCACCTGGCCCCCAGTGGTCTGCGGAGCCTCAGGCGCACGCCGCCCGCGGTGCGCCTGGCGGCGCGCGGGGGGCGGCTGTGCGGAGCTGGGAGCGCGCGGAAGCGCGCTGCGGCGGAAGGAAAAGGAAGACATCCAGGGTGCCCCCCCAGGAGGAGGAGGAGGAGGAGGAGGAGGAGGAGGAGGAGGAGGAGGAGGAGGAGGGGAGTGGAGGAGGAGGAGGCGGAGGAGGAGGAGGAGGAGGAGGAGGAGGACCCCCTGCCCCCCACTGCCCTCCCCCCGACGCACTCAGAAAGGCCACTCCAAGATCGCAGCGGGGCAGCTTCCCCGCTTGCCCCGCCTCGTCGGCGTATATGTACATGATGGAGATCTTGTAATGCGGGTAGCGGGCCCTAATGTCCTCAAACACGTGAGCGTAAAAGTCCGCGTTCCGGAGCGACCCGTCGATCCAGATGTTCTGCCGCCTCTCCATCGCGGCCCACTGGGCAATCTCCATCATGAAGGACGACTCCATGTGGCACAAAGTGCCAGCTTCCTGGGAGAGAGCTGTATGATCGGCAATGTTGGCCAACGCGCACCCCTAACAGTGTTGCACTCTCGATGTGCAAGATGTGGTGCGCGACATACGGGTGCAATTATTGTTGGAGAAAATCCGTCCGCCGACCCTGTCGGCGTGTGCGAGGGGCTTCCTCGTCCGTTCCTCGCCGCCCCCCCTTCTTCCTTCCCCCCTTTTTCTTTTTGGGCCGTACCCTCCTGCCGTCATGCCGTTGTCGATTCGAAGGGAAGCCCCTTCCCTTTGATCCCTTCCCCAGGGGGGGGGGGTCCCGCCAGGGGTGGGGGAGGGTGGGGGGGTGGGTGGGGGGGCAGATTCGTTTTTCCTCGGGCGGCCTCGAAACCTCGAAAACACTCCAAATGAGGTCCGAATGCCCAAGATGGCCCCCGAGACGGCCCAAGAGTGCCCCGAGTCGCCCAAAGATCGGCCGAAGACGCCCAAGATAGCCCCAAGACCGTCCAAGAAGCCTCCAAGACGTCCCAGGCCCCCTCCAAGAGCACCCCCAAGGAGGGCCCAAGAGGCCACACTCACTACTTATCCATCGGGAACTTACATTTCTAGCATATACGACGTTTCGGCCTTTACGGCGTCACAGACAGCTTCGTCTTCAGGGTCGGCGGCACCGGCCGTAAGGCCTTCGCAATAGAATCACAAGTTCCCATGCTCGAGCTAATATCCCAGACACCCACCTGCGATTTGTATGGCAAAAGCAAAACTGGCGCAAGGACGCGACAACCCTTAGAATGCTGATATGTGACTTGGGCGGGTGAATGATGATGGTGGCGACATCGGCGACGACGAGATGGATGTGACCATGGCGATGGTGGTGGCGATGATAACGAGGGCAACGACAACACATCTGCTGCTGCTGCTGCTGCTGCTGCTGATGATGATGATGATGATGATGATGATGATGATGATGGTGATGACGATGCTGATGATGCTGATGAGTATGATGTTCATGACGATGATGATGACCATGATGTTGATGATGATGCTGCTGGTGGTGATGGTGATGGTGGTGATGCTGATGATGACGCTGCTGCTGGTGATGATAAGGACTCTGGCTTCAGCTCGCAGCGCCCAGCTGGGCACACAAAAAGCAAGCGAACAACAAAAGGCGAACGGCACATCGGCCCATGGTGAAGCGAAGCTGCTCCACCAACAATCCCTGCACATCGGGCCTCTGTCCCGAGCTCGAAGGAGCCCTGGTCCTGCTGGGCGTGGTCGGCCGCTCGAGGGAGGGTGCCCCAGGACTGGCTCCCTGTGGTGTGCTTTCCCCACCGTTTGTGCCCTGCGGTTGGTGCCCCGGCTGGTCCCGGCCATCGTGGTCGTCCGCTCGTGGGCCGATGCCCTGCGGTTGGTGCACGATGGTGCCCTACGACTGGTGCCCGGCTGGGAGATTGGTGCCATGTAGGCTTCTCATGGCTGGTGCCCCGTGGGTGGTGCCCCTTTTCTGACACTCTACGGATCCCATGTTTGGTGCTGCGTGTTGCCCCGTGGCGGATGCTCCGGGGAGTCGGCTTAGCTACTGTTTTCCCGCCAATGCATGTGACCTTCGAGATGGAGATTGCCGAAGTGAGCACCCGAAACTAATGCAAACGCGCTCTCGATGTGCAATCTGTATTGCATCTTCGACGTGCAAGCCACCCGATCCCACAGGTGTGAAACGCCATGGCGCGAGGACATCCCTCAACAACTAAAGCATACATTTGGACCAACCAAATGGCACTTGCCATAAGACACCGCGACACCACCACAGACATTTTATGGAGAGGGGGAGGAGAGGCAGAGGGGAGGACGCGAGCCATCGATGAGCAACACACCACAGGGCTGAACCCAAACGGTGTTTTTCGTTTTCGTTTTGTTGTCGTTTTCCCTTGCGCTTGTCTCGAATCCGCCTTTACCGCAAAACGAAGTCGAAACGAAAACGGCCCACGAAATCACAAACAGATCGCTTAGGTTCAGCCCTGACACACCACTCGTCTCACTCGGTGCAATCTGCGACTGCCGGCGAAGTGAAACATGCGGAGAAAGCCTACTATAGTAGCCAGTTCCCGCATCGCGCGAATGCTTCAATGAAATCGCGGCTGAAATGAAAACTCGCGCGTGCGTGCCCCGAACCATTACATCCTGGCGGGACTCGCGCTAATGCCCAACGCAAGTGTGGGGGAGGACGAGCGAGGAAGGCGGAGAAACTCAAAGCAAAAACCTGCAGAGCGCCCCAATGCCGAAGCAGAGGAGCCGAAACCACGAGCGGCCAGCGTGCAGTGCAGCAGGCGGCGTGTATGACGCGCAAGGCGATACTTGTATTAAGGATAGACGCGATGTCACAAACTCAGGTCGGAACTCGAAGTAAATAGTTGTGCAGGGGCCGTGCCCTCGAGCGGGGCCACGCACCTGGAGCCACCAGAATACGCGCGCCACATCATGCCGGAACACACGCGCGACGGGGGATGGGGGAGGGAGAACGACAAGGAGCACAAAGAAGAGAGGAGAAGGGCGGGGGAAACAAGCCTGCGACCTCGAGGCGGGCCGTGCAGAGCCAACGGAACCTGAAGGGCGAATCACTCGGCGGAAAGGCGAGCGCCTACGCTCCAGGGTGCGGGCGGACTGCAAGCTGCCAGGCCGCGCAGCGGGGAAAGTCATACACACTGGCTGCAGATGCCTAGCAATGCATTTTGTTCCCCAATTGCGAAACACGAGCTGACAACAATATCGACTGCAACGCAAGCACAAGAGGGACGGAGGCGGAGGAGGAGGGAGGCAGAGGACGAAGGAAGGAGGGGGAGGAGGGCGACTGCCCGCTCTAATCGAGCGCTCGGGGGCCTCCACAGCCGCGCATAGCCGGGCTCAGACATGCGGCGCGGATCAGGAAGGCGGCAACACGATGAGGAGGCCAAGGGACGAGGCGAGGAGGGCGAAGGAGGACGGAGGAAGGAGGGGGAGGAGGGCGAGGAGGGCGACTGCACGCTCTAATCTAGCGTTCGGGGGCTTCAACAGCCGCGCAAGCCGGGATCAGGCCTGCGGCACGGGTCAGGAAGGCGGCAACACGAAACGGAGAGGAGGGGACGAGGCGAGAGGGGAGGCGGAGGACGAAGGAAGGAGGGGGGGGAGGGCGACTGCCCGCTCAAATCAAGCGTTCGGGTGCCTTCACAGCCGCACGGGGGCAACCGCGTCCTTGCGCGGAGCGCTCCGGCCTGCAAGCCAGGGGGCGCGCTGACCGCGCAGGCCTCCTTGCCCCCAGCAGGCCGGCGTCCATTCAGCGGCCCCGAGTCGCACCCGCATGGTTAGTTGGAATCGGAGGCCGCTGCCTCGGACGCCACCCCCGCGGGGGGCCACAAACCCGAGGTGGGCAAGGACCGCCCCCCGACGAGGGGGAGAGAGGAGAAGGAGGAGAAGGAAGGAGGAGGAGGAGGAGGAAGGAAAGGCAGAAAGAGGAGAGCAGAGGGGAGGGGGAAAAGGAGAAGGGGAGCGGTCCCAAGCCCACAGGGCGCGGGGCCCCACAGGGGGAGGCTTGTGGCTGGCGCCGGCTGGCCGCCCAGCCAAGGCCAGGTGGACTGCAGCGCGCTCAGGACGAGCGAGCGTGGCCTCCACAGCCCCGATGGGAAGGAGAGGAAGGCGGAAGAAAGAGGACGCGGGGAGGGCGGTGACCGGGCGTCACGCCTAGATTTTGGCAAGGCACCGCTCAAATGCTCTGCGTCCTGTCGCCGCCCCCCGTAAGGCCTGCTGCAGCGCCCTCCCAGCCGCAGCTGCGGTCACCGCTCCAGTAGCTCGGGTTGAATTGGTCGCGCGGTAGGCCGCATAGGCGCCCAGCGCGCCCTTGGCGAGCAGATCGTCGTCCTGCCGTCCGGCGTGGACCCCCAACCAATGCGGCAGGAGCGACTCCGCATCTATGCAGAGCGATGTCGCATGGAAGTGGCGCATGACTCTGCATCTCGAATAGTGTTCTATGCTATCTTCGGCGCCGCCGCCGCAGCCCAGCCGACAAACGTTGCCTGCGTCACCCCGCTGCTGAAATCTCTTGAGAGTGCACCACCTATTCCAGGCAGTACTGAACACCGCCGCCACCACGCTGGGCGGCACCAATCGCCACAGCCGCCCCAATCTGGTCTGGAATGCATCTCCGAGCTGACGCAGGACCCCCGGCAGCTGCCATCTACTCAGGTTGTGCCGGATGCGAAAATGTGGGCTCCGCGCTTCCGCCTGGGCGATCCGCTCCCGAGCGACATCTTGGAACCGCCGGCTCGCTCGGTCTGCCCTTTCTTCCACGGCGTCTGCAGTCACGCCCATGGCGGCGAGGTCGTCGAGTGACTGTGTCAGCACTGCAGGGATGGCCGCCTTCAACCAGGCCGACCATTGCTCCCTCCTCCGGTCGTACTCTGTGTCGAGAACTGCCTCAAGGAGTTCTCGGGCCCGCTGACGTAGCAGCAGGCCACCGTGCTCTTCGTCCTCCCTGTGCGTGATGCGGAGTCTCAGCGCCCATTCCTCCAAGTCGAGCGCCCCTTGTCGGGGGCCGCGATCTGCGCCGTGAGCGCCAGCACTGGGAGCGCGTAGACGCTGTGCGCGAGTATCGCAAAGTGAAGGCCCATCGCGCTCCACGACCACCCTGCAACTCGTTCCTGGAATCGCTGGCACGCGGTGTCCCAGATGCTGATCGTCTTCTCTGGCCCACGAGCGCAGCCCAGATACGTCGCTGAAAGGCGGAGCGGCAGCTGTCGCCAGGCTGGGTAAGCAGCTGCTACGCGCGCAAGGGCGTCGCACAGCGGCTCTTCCCAGAGCGTGATGCCCACTGTCTTCGGTAGGTAAACCTCCATGCCGGAGAGGAAACTAAACTCATGAAGAGCTTGTTGGAGGATTGACAACTGTTTCGGAGCATCCTGGAGCACAATCCGGATGTCGTCGGCCAAAGCCCGGACAACGACGCCCTCGATCCTCAGGGGCAGGATGCGGAGCAGCAGGTCCATGACAGTGGCGAAGAT